AGGGGCTGAGGGCAGTGCTGCTGCGTCGCAGCAAGGGGAGACCAATGACGACGTGCTGCAGCTGCTGCAGCAAGGCAGCAGCAGCAGCAGCAGCAGCAGCAGCAGCAGCAAAGCTTCGCAGCTAGATATAGAAGCGCTGATGCAGGTGTGCAGCTACGGGCAGCGCCACACCATCCGAGCTGCTGCTGCTGTGCCATCTGCAGCAGCAGCAACACCTGCAGCAGCAACACCTGCAGCAGCAACACCTGCAGCAGCAGCAGCAGCAGCAGCAGCAGCAGCAGCAGCAGCAGAGCCTGGCCTGCAGCAAGAGTATATAATAACCCCCTTCAGCAGCGGCTTTTGTTTAGGGGGAGCCAACTGGCTGATAGAGACCCCGGGCGGCAAGAAGCTCTTCATTGTGGGCCCCAGCAGCAGCAGCAGCAGCAGCAGCAGCAGCAGCAGCAGCAGCAGCAGCAGCAGCAGCAGCATGGGGATGCTCGGTGATGATGATGATTGTGCTGCTGCTGCTCATCGTAAACCACTGGAAGCAGACTGGAGCTGTCTTGCTGCTGCTGATGCTGTTGTCTTCTTTGAGTGTCAGCAGCCGCGGTTGCTTTCATCCCCCAGCAGCAGCAGCAGCAGCAGCAGCAGCAGCGGCAGCAGCAGCAGCAGCAGCGGCAGCAGCAGCAGCAGCAGCAGCAGCGGCGGCAGCAGCAGCAGCGGCGGCGGCATGAGCGGCACAGCAGCAGCAGTGAAGATCCTCGAGGAACCTTTGGGTGGCAGCAGCAGCAGCAGCACCAGAAGCAGCAGCAGCAGCAGCAGCAGCAGCAGCAGCAGCGGCTTAGCTGATAGCAGCACCAGTACACGGGGGCAAACAGTGCAGCAGCGAGTGCAGCTGCTGATGCGTGTAGTTGCTGCTGCAGCAGCAGCAGGCAGCAACGTGCTGCTGGTTACGGATCCCTGCGGGGTGCAGCTGCTGGACCTGCTGCCGCTGCTGCTGCGAGCGTGGCCGCATGCTGCTGCTGCTGCTGCTGCTGCTGCTGCTAGCTGCGTATACACCGTAGGCTACAACTGGCCCAAGCTGCTGCGGTATGCTGACGAAGCTATCGAGTGGCTGCAGCCTCCCCAGCAGCAGCAGCAGCGGCAGAAGCAAAAGCAGCAGCAGCAGCAGCAGCAGCAGCAGCGTGGGGAGACAACAGCAGCAGCAGCAGCAGCAGCAGCAGCAGCAGATCTGTGCTGCGACCCGCCATTCGGATACGCAGACATGCAGCAGATGCATCGCCTGGTTGTTGCTGAGCTGCTGCAGCAGCTGCCTACATTAAAGAAGCCCTTTCTGGTTGTTGCTGCTGCTGCTGCTCTGCGTGCGGGACCAGCAGCACAGCTGCTGCAGCAACTCAGGAGCAGCAGCAGCACGCTGCTGCTGCTGCTAGACCCCGCCTTCTCGGCCCCAGGAGATGTCATTCGTTTGCCTTCGCTGCTGCAGCAAGCAGCACTCAAGCAGCAGCTGGCGCAGGATGTATGTGTGCTGCTGCAGCGCCACCAGCAGCGGGAGGAGGGGCCTGCTGCTGCTGCTGCTGCTGCTGCTGAGGGCAGCAGCAGCAGCAGCAGCAAGGAACGCAGCGTTGCTGCTCTTGCATGCGCAGTTGAAGCAAGAGCTAGACAGCTTGCTGCTGCTGCATGCGGTCTGCTGCTGTGGCCCTTTACCTACGATGAGTCTTTCATATCTCCCGTGCTGCAGCAGCACGTTGCTGCTTCTGCATGCGTTGCCTTACCATACTTCTTCGATGGTGTTCTCCCCAGCAGCAGCAGCAGCAGCAGCAGCAGCTCTCAGCAGCAGCAGCAGCAGCAGCAGCAGCCATCGTTTCACCTGATGCAGCCAACGGCCTTGCTGCCGCTAGAGAAAGGAGTTGCTGCTGCTGACGCTCTGCTGCTGTCTCAGTCTTTCTCGCTGCTGCAGGTTGCTGCTGATGATATGGAGATGCATGCATACGAAGCCCCAACACCAGCAGCAGCAGCAGCAGCAGCAGCAGCAGCAGCAAGATCAACTGCTGCTGCTGCTGCTGCTGAAGGCGAAGAGCAGCAGCAGCAGCAGCAGCAGCAGCAGCAGCAGCAGCAGCAACGCGTATTCATTGCGCCTGTTGGTGAGGGTACTCTGCTATACTGCAAAGGAGGGAACGCGACGCTGCTACCAGCTGCTGCTGCTGCTGCTGCTGCTGCTGCTCCAGCTGCTGCTCCAGCAGCTGCGGCTGACCCAGCAGCTGCTGCTGATCCAGCTGCTGCTGCTGATCCAGCAGCAGCAGCAGCAGCAGCAGCAGCAGCAGCTGCTGCTGCTGCTGCTGCTCCTAGCTGCAGCTGCCCCACACTGTTGTTCGGAGTGCCGGACCTGCATGCGATGGCCGTGCTGCTGCAGCAACGAGGCTTTGCTGCTTCTGTTGCTGCAGTGGAGGGGGGAGAGAGAGCTGCTGCTTATCCTTGCTGCAGCACAGCAGCAGCAGCAGCAGCAGCAGCAGCAGCAGCAGCAGAGCTTCGTGTTCCTGCACTGAAAGCTTCACTCGTTTACCACCCCTGCTGCGGCGTCGTTGATATTAGGGCCCCGCATGCAAAGCCAAGACAGCTGCTGCAGCAGCTGCTGCAGCAAGTGCTGCTGCAGGCCACAGTGCATGCTGCTGCATGCAGCTGCAGCAGCAGCAGCAGCAGCAGCAACTCTGCTCCTGCATGAGTGCCTCAGCTGCTGCTGCCAGCAGCACCCAGCTAGCTGTAGCTAGCTGTAGCTAGCTAGCTGCATGCAGCTGGGAGTTCTCATTTTTTTTGTGTTGCGGGGAGAGAGGGGGCTCACCATGCAGCTCCTAGCTAGCTGCAGCAGCAAGCCCCTAGCTAGCTGCAGCAGCTAGCTGCTAGCTAGCTGCAGCAGCAAGCTCCTGGGGAGATGTGCAGAGGGATGTTGTGTATGTGTTTTTTATTTTGTGTATTTATATTTTATTTTATTTATGTTTATATTTTATTTTATTTATATTTATATTTTATTATATTTATATTTATATTTTATTTTATTTATATTTATATTTTATTATATTTATGTTTCAAAGAGAAGCAGCAGCAGCAGCGTTTGCTGCCTGTATAAACAGCCAGGTGTACATACACCTCAACTATAAATATTTTTGTTGCTGCTGCTTACATACACCCCGTTTCTGGTGTATATACACCCCATTGCTTTCTCTTCTGCTGCTTGGATCCTCACCCCAGCTGCATGCGCCCATCGTGCAGCAGCAGCAGCAACAGCAGCAGTAGCAGCTGCAGCAGCAGCAGATGCAGCTGCAGCAGCAGCAGATGCAGCAGCAGCAGCAACAGCAGCAACAGCAGTAGCAGCAGTAGAAACAGCAGTAACATCAGCAACAGTAGCAGCGACACCAGCGGCAGCAGCAGCAGTAGCACCAGCAGCAGCAGTAGCAGCAGCAGCAGCAGCAGCAGCAGTAGCAGCAGCAGCAGCAGCAGCAAGGCTGCTGTATCAGCATGAGTGGCGTAGCAGCGGCTGCGAGTAAGCAAATAGAAGCAATCTGAAAGTCTATTGAGAAGCAACGCATGCAGCAGATAAATATTTTATATTTTATATATATAATATATATATTATATATATATATATATATATATATATATATA